TGTGTGTGTGTGTGTGTGTGTGTGTGTGTGTGTGTTGAGCGTGTGTGTTGAGCATTGAAAAAGAGGAAATATGACAATAGTTTTTACTTTCAGATTAGACTGTGTTGTGATTGATGCACAAAGTGTGCAGTTTATACTTTGTTTTTTTGTGTAGTGTGAAATATGGTCAGTGATTTGATAAACGTGTGTTATCTACATTACATAAGCAAACGTCTCATCTGTCTGATGTTAATCTGTTGGATTTTATCATCTTTAACACAAAGAAATTAACACTTATTCATCAAGGATGCATTAAATTTATCAAAAGTGCCAGTAAAGACATTTATAATGTTACAAAATATTTATATTGCAAATAAATGCTGTTGTTTTGAGCTTTCTATTAATCTGTGAATCCTGAAAAATAAAAAATATCAGTTTCCACAAAAATATTGGGCAGCACGACTGTGTTCAACATTGATAATAATCAGAAATGTTTCTTGAGCAGCAAATCGCATATTAGAATGATTTCTGAAGATCATGTGACACTGAAGACTGGAGTAATGATGCTGAAAATACAGCTGCGCATCACAGAAATAAATTACAGTTTAACAGAGATTCACATAGAAAACAGGTATTTTAAATTGTAAAAATATTTCACAATTTTTACTGTATTTTTGATCAAATTAATGCAGCCTCGGTGAGCAGAAGAAAAACTTTTAAACTGGTGTATACACCAATTTACCAATAATTATATAGTACTATGGTAGAGTTGTTGAATTATGATGCATTGTTTTACACATTGCATCACAATAATGCTTTGTTTATATATATATATATATATATATATACATACATATTTACAGAAAATACACTTCAAGTCATTGTCTTTACAAAACTTAATAAATACGATGAACAATCTTAAATGATAGGCTACCTCTCTAATTTTCTTTGTGATACAAAAACGTCTGGAGATCTTAAGTTAGGATGCTTTCTTTCCGTATATATATATACATATTTACAGAAAATACACTTCAAGTCATTGTCTTTACAAAACTTCATAAATACGATGAACAATCTTAAATGATAGGCTACCTCTCTACTTTTCTTTGCGATACAAAAACGTCTGGAGATCTTAAGTTAGGATGCTTTCTTTCCCTCAATCCATGCAGGACGATGAGGAGGCTGTGGTGACCTACAGGTGGCGCTGTAACACAGCACACTTCTGCAGTCTGCAGCACAGAGAACTGTAACTGTGCAGAGAGACAGGGTTGAGAGAGAACGTGCAGAAAGCATCAAAGAGAATAAAAGCGTGTAATCATTAAACAGCTGAGCGTCTCTTCTGCTCCACTGAGTCAAACTGTTGCTGCGGATTTTCTCTGCAGTATGTTTGTTCTTCATACAGTAAAACCCTCCTGTGACCCATCAGAAGCTGATTTCAATATTTAGAAAACTAGGCGCATGTTTTTTGAGTGAAAATCACAGTTTCTGTGATATATTTCATCCCAAAATCAAAACAGCATTATATTTTGCATAAACAAAATGAAACGCATTAGACTAACATTTTTATAATATTCATAATTTATTTTTTAGTCATTAATATAATTTATTTTTAGATTTTTATTTGTGACAATTTAACCATAAGTTCTACCGTAATGCACCTTAAAATATTTAAAAATGTGAACTATATAATTGTTTCTATTGCATTGCTTTTGGAGTAATTTCTTTATTATTTAATTAAGTGTTTATTATTTATATATAATGCAATAGTGAGAATGCCAATGCCAAAAAAAGCCTTAATGCCTAAAAACATCACCTTCATTGTCTTTTATCAAATATATATATTTCATCCCAAAATCAAAAGGATATAAAACAGCATTATATTTTGCATAAAGAAAATGAAACACATTAGACTAAAATTTTTATTCTATTCATAATTTATTTTTAGATTTTTATTTGTGACAATTTAACCATAAGTTCTACCGTAATGCACCTTAAAATATTTAAAAATTTGAACTATATAATTGTTTTCATTGCATTGCTTTCTATTGCATTGCTTTTTTTTTTAATTATTCATTTATTTATTATTTAATTAATTAATTTTTATTATTTATATATAATGCAATAATGCAATAGTGAGAATGCCAATGCCAAAAAAAAATAAAAAATACCTTAATGCCTAAAAACATCCCCTTCATTGTCTTTTATCAGAATATTTGGTATTTCTCTTCTTTTGATTTTGGGGTGTCCTGGGTATGTTTTTGACACGTTGAGATTCATGCTTGATGCTGTTTGTTCAGTTTTAATGGTCTAAAACTGTTTTTTTTGTTGCTGTGAAAGCAACATCAATGGAGGTGATTTGATACGACACACAGGACAAAAATCTGACCATTCACTCTACGTGAAAGTTCATTCTGTTACTGTCCTCAGACACAGGAGTGTGTGTTTGTAACTGAGAGCCGTCCTGAGAACTTTCCCTCTGTCACTGGCCTCTCAGATTTCTGGATTGGTTTCTGTGTCGGACCATTAGCCAAACTTCACCTGTCCTTGTTACTGTTCACTCACTTAACAGAACAGATTTCCACTCTCTAACAAAAACTTGTTGTATGGAACTTTTAAAAATCTATTTTAGGCAAGAACACAAAAACCCACCACAAACTAACCGCTCTTCTCCAAAAGTAAGAAAACAATTTTCCCCTTGATTTTTAAACAACCTGGCTAGAAATTTATGCTAAAATAGGTTTCTGATGGAAATCGGATTTGCGTGGTTTGTTGAGTGTCTAAATCTGTAATTGGTGATAATTATCAGGTCTGGTTTAGATGGATGATCAACTAACTGGACAACCAAGCATTGAGATCTGGTTGACCGTACTGATTTGTCACCAGATAAAATGTACAGGTCAGTAGCTACGTTTACATGCAACCCAATAATCTGTTAGTAATTAGATTGATGGCTCAGTTGGATTGAAAAGCCTTATTTAAACATCGCAAGCTATACTATTTAGCTTGATTTGAATTAAATTACGATCGGATTTAAAGGGGATATGCACACCTAAAATAATATGATCGATAAGAAAAAAAATAAGCATGTAAATAATTAAATCCTACTACTTTCGAAATCGGATTCGCAAATACCTTGCGCATGCGCAGTTCCGCTATGCATATGTTTACGCTTAGCGTCGTACGAACGTGCCTATTTTATTTAGTCTTACTGGACATTGGAGAAAACAAAATATTTAATACAGAAATACTGTTCTGGCATGTCCGCTTTCTTTTTAGATGGGCCTATTTCTT